ACAAAATGACCCCTGTGTGTCACCCTAGTTAATTTAACTCTGTACTTGCTAAATCTGCCACATGCTACATATTTTGCTTCAACAGGAAGAGCACTCCTACAATAAACCCAAGTTCTTTTTCAAAGCCAGACTCCCTTTTAAGACTCATACTGTGCATTTCCAAGCTCACTATTTCTCCAGTATTAATAATGCCCTCTTTTATCCAACTTGAATTATCCAGGTACACATTCCAGACCAAACAAAAGCTGATCTGAGTGCTTGTTCATCTTAACTAACCCAATTCTACCAGTATGAAGCATATTTCTATAAAATGTCCATTCGTTTTAGAAACGAATGAAGTATAGTTTAAACTAACCTGAGCTGCCTAGAAGTCACACCCCACAGAACCGAAAAGGCTATATGTGCAATTTAATGCCTTTCATAAATAAAATCTGACAAGTTTTTCATCAAAATAATTTAATTATCTAAATAACCTCTTTGCTACTTAAAACGGCTTTTTCTACTGCACCAACCCCATCACATCTCTTTAAAATACAGGATACGTTGTCAACAAGAGAGATTCATGCACAGCCTTTCAAACAAACCCAATTCATCAGTACTACATAATCTAGAAATTTCCTTTTGTGAGATGAGCAAAAGGTCAGCTTTCGGCTTTTTTACTCATGAGTTGCTGGAGATAAGAGGTAGAAAAAAGTAATTTTCTTTGCAAGTGTACAACTTGCCTTGAAAGAATTAGGTTCTGCAATTTAACCACTGACATTTCTTGAAGAAAACAGCGGCCATCGTGCTGAAATTTACTCAGTCAAGTTACTAGGAAGACAGAGAACTTTTAATATTTTTCAGGACAAACATCTTCCACCATGAGACCACTAAACCTAAGATTTTGGGACAGCTGATCCCAAAGGGGTTTATGAAGGGGGGGGGGATGAAGCACTGCTTAACCAAGGAATCCTGGGATCTAAGTGATTCTATCACTTAATTGTGTGATCCCAGCACAAAACTTATCAAACCACACCATAGCTACTTGATGTTGATATGGCTGTTCATGACATGCTTACTGATCAGTATTTTTAAAAAATCATTTATTCCTGTCTTGAATAAAAAGAAAAATGCATGTGTAAAGCATTGAGGGTCTCTTAGACCTCAAAGGAACTAAAAAGGTGTATCATTACAGACCCCCCAGACACAATCCCTATAGTTGTTGCCATGTACTATAGACAAAATATGTTTACTCCAAGTTGTATCCTTGTCAAAATCCTCCCTTTAAAATATGGCTTATTTTTACTTCTTTTATACCCAACTTTTCTCCTCCCTGGAGACCCAAAGTAGCTGACAACAATCTCCTTTTCTCCATTTTCTCCTCATGACAACCTTATGAGGTGGCTTAGGCTAAGAGCATGTGACTGGGCCAATATCACCCAACAAGCTTCCATGGAACAAGTGAGGGAATCAAACCTGAGTGTCCCACACCCTAGGTCGACACTCTAGCCTCAAGCAATTTTGCTTTTTGAAAGCAATTAGTGCTTTTGAAAGCACAAATGATTTTTTAATTCATTTTTTCCTTGAACATAGCTTCAAAGGTTACAGCTGGCTGCCACAACAAATTCTCCTTCAGCAGAATAAAGCAGAGTTGCCCACAGTCATTATCA